AGGTAGTTTCCTGAAAAGGAAATATTTAAAGTGTCTTCTCCGAAAATAAAGTTCAACGTGGTAGTTCTCCATATATGGGCATATGCCTCGTTATATGGTAATATATTGGCCCAAAGGAAATTAAGTCTGGCACATGATCTAATCCGTTGTTTGATTTGGAGTAACACAATCTATACGTAATCCCTGTTTATTAGCATGATTTGAAGATGCCAGCAATATGATATTTTTGTATTAAATTTATCTAATTCATTATGTTTAAGGTATGGTGATACTCATTGAATCATGTGAAATATTGGTGTTATCTATACTCACTACTTGCATTATTTTGCTACAGCTTTATTTTGCTGAGTACATGTCATGCTAATATTGCTTTTTGTTCCTCTATAGTCTCCTTGGGTTGGAGTTGCATCACAGACAATTAACAGCAATGCTGGTGTCCAATCAGGAGATGTAGCTCCTCATACATCTGCTTCACCTTCTGTTGCAGCTCCTGTTAAATGTAACTGGACAGAGCATACTTCTCCTGATGGATACAAATATTATTACAACAGTACAACTGGTGAAAGCAAGGTAAAAGTCTTATCATCTTTCTGCAGTTTGCTAGCTAGGACATGGCCTCTCATAATTATTGACTTTGGCAGTGGGAAAAACCTGAAGAGTTAGCACTCAATGAGCAGCAGCAGCAACAAAAGCCGTCTATCCAACAGCATGAAGTGCAGTCTCAGCCACAAGGACTGTCTGTACAGCCAGGTTCTCAGACCCAAATAAACCTTCAAAGTCAACATCAGGCACAGTTCCAAACTCAGATCCGGCCTTTGCAACAAACTTCTCAATCTTCAGTCAGTATTTGTTGCATCCTTAATTCTTCTGTTTTAGAACCTTCTTACAATGTTTTTCTTATTTAATGTCTATGATATTCCAGTATCAGGTTCCTGGACTTTCTGCTCGTCAAAACTCTCAGGTAATTGGGTACAAAATAATTTAATCTTTATTAACATTATTTATATGTCCAAGTAATGCAAAATGTTTTGGAGCCTTTTGTGTTTCTTTTCCCCTTCCAAAAGTTGTCTACTTCTAGGCGTGGTTTCTCGATCTCAACCGAGTCATAGATGGTGGGGTTTGGTTTTATCACCTACCCTGTATGTGTATATTGAAAACTGAATTAAAAAAGGGAGGG